TTCTGCCTAATAATGATCAAGAAAGAATTTATTGAATTAATGTCATTCAATCATCGATGAGATGAATTCTTATAACTAGGCAGAATATGCAGATCCCAACTGATAAACAAGTTGTACAAAGAAGGTTATAATCCATGATAGTCATGGTCAGAAAACCTCAACCACTCCCTACAACATACAAAACCAAAAGGAGAGTATCACCTTCTTAAAAGGAGTAAGTCCGAGCAAATGGAACAAAGTTGGAAGGGGGTGAACAACTGTATCATCTGTAGATCTAGCCTTTAGTGATGTCTGATGGCTTTTATGGAACATGGAGCTATTAATATACACTCTGCATACAAGACAAAGTTGATCAAAATCACCACCGTCTGTATCGTATCTCATGAAACTGGATTCCTCACCTCAAATACTAAACTATAACACTAAAACTTCGCCCAGAGTACCTGACGGACAAAAGAACAGAGTCCATAATCGCCAATATATTAGGAGCTGATTTGCAACACCCTTCAATTCTAATCTTCTTATCCCTCACCAACGGCAGAATACATCGAGCCCATTCATTTGGAATACGCCCCATCTGTCACTCCACAACAAACAACCAAAAAATCAGGCTTATTATACAGAATTCCCTCAAGAAAGATCTAGTATTCCCCTATCACACCAAGAAAAAACTAATTGGCAGCAAATTCTTTCTTCTGATGATTTCACTTTATATTCAGACATCACATTCTTAAGCAGAAGCAGGTGCATCCACTGGCCCGAGCTCAAACTATATTTTTGTATACAGAAAATTTAAGACTTGAAAAAAAAAGTACTTCTATTAAAGTGGTGCACCCACAGCTTTTAACTTCTTCTTTTTTCAAATATGGGTTTTCTTTGGACCAACTTGCTCACATCTTAACTAATCCACCGGGCAGCTTGTCCAGCCCAAGAGCACAAGTTTCCAAGGTAATAGATGGGTTCACAACAAGTGTTGTAGCTTGGATCTGAACATGGGATCCCTAAGTTGTCACTCACATGCCCCACTGATTTAGAAGCGGTGAGTTCTAAAATATATATCTTGATTTTGTATAACCATCTAGTATTCGGCACCCACTGACCCAACTAATCCAGATTTGCGCCGCGAAAGAATTTCCCCATTCCCGCAGCTTGAACCTGAGACTGCCGGTTAAGGGCGGAGGGTTCTCATACATCCCACCACGATCCTCTGCTTAATTTTACTCCTATCTAGCTCTATCTATACTTCTTTTTCAAACATCTACAAATGTTTCGAGCCTAAGGTCTCGTGGGTTTTGCCGAGCTACATAAGCCTTCTACATCCGCTACTCGCCTCAACCACTAGACCCTCCCCTTGAGGACACAACCACTGTCCTAGATTCACATTGGTCTAGAATGCAACTTGAACGGAGCAAAACCTTAGCAACTTCCTTTGTTTTCTTTCTTTTTTTCTTTCTTCTTTGGAGGGCAGGGGGCTAGAGGAATTCCACAAAAATGCAATAAAAGTTGCAGAAGAAACTTAAAATTTCAGAACATAAAAGAAGAAAAGAGTACCTCTCCACAAGCCTTGGTAGAAAACCTTACAATTTCAGAACAAGCAGCAGCCGCTTGACGCCCTCGTCCAAACTTCCCAGCTGGTGAAGCTGAACTCAATTTCTTCTTCTCCACAGGG